GGGAGCTGAAGGTGTCGTCCTTCCTCCCCAGCTGCATTGTGTACCCTAGGGAGCTGAAGATGCCGTCCTTCCTCCCCAGTGGCAGTGGGTATCCCAGGGAGCTGAAGGTGCCGTCCTTCCTCCCCAGCGGCAGTGTGTGTCCCAGGGAGCTGAAGGTGTCGTCCCTCCTCCCCAGCGGCAGTGTGTGTCCCAGGGAGCTGAAGGTGCCGTCCTTCCTCCCCAGTGGCAGTGTGCGTCCCAGGGAGCTGAAGGTGCCGTCCTTCCTCCCCAGCGGCAGTGTGCGTCCCAGGGAGCTGAAGGTGTCGTCCTTCGTCCCCAGCGGCAGTGTGCGTCCCAGGGAGCTGAAGGTGCCGTCCTTCCTCCCCAGCGGCAGTGTGTCCCCCAGGAAGCTGAAGGTGTCGTCCTTCCTCCCCAGCGGCAGTGTGTGTCCCAGGGAGCTGAAGGTGTCGCCCTTCCTCCCCAGCGGCAGTGTGTGTCCCAGGGAGCTGAAGGTACCGTCCTTCCTCCCCAGCGGCAGTGTGTCCTGCAGGAAGCGGAGACAGTCGGTCTCGCACCCCAGCAGCAGGGCAAAATATCGAAAGGGGAGACAGTTGGTCTCCCCCTCCAACAGCAAAGAAAGTGTCAGGGAGAGGAACTTGTTATCCCCTCTCCCCAACGGCTGAAAGTATGTATGGGAGAGGAGCTTGTTACCCCCTCTCCCCAACAGCGGCTTAGCCCACCAAGGGGAGACAAGAATCTCCACAACAGTGCAGATGGGGCCGTGGTCTCTGCACATGCACCATCGGGGGTAGGGACAGTCGGTCCTGTCCCCCAGCAGCAGGGCTGTTTAGCCAAAGGGGAGACAGCCTGTCTTCCCCTCCAGCAGCAACACCAGGTCCAGAGAAAGGAACCTACTAACCCTTCTCCTCAGCTGGGCTCCAACCAGGCCACTCCTGTACTGGCACCAGGGCAGAGTTACGCTGGTCTCTGCCCACTCAGCAACCTACCGATCCGGAAGGCTAGTACCTCCCAGAGCCATAGTGGAGCCCCTGGACATGGACAAGCTACCCACTACCCCAGGTGCAGTAACCAATTCTTGTGGGTGAGCCACTCTGTTGATTATGTTTTGTGGGTGGGTTGCTGGACTAACCAAGGCACTGACCGACAGGAGGTCAGATACCTTGTTAGTCTTTTTGGGAAAGGGGAGAAATGTGGCGAAACCAACCTCGCCACTGGGCATTGGAGAAGACTGATTGCCAGCCTCCTGCCATGTGACTATGGCCCCTGGGATGTATTACCCTTTAAAAACACCATTTCATGTATCAGAGGCACATGGTGAAAACAATGGATGGAGCACATGGTGAGAACAATGGATGGCGGCCATTTTAACTCACAGACACTGTTTGGACTTTTCTACACGGTGCCATCTCGCCAGTATTTGGTGCACGAAGACATCGTTCAGTAGTTTTAAACTATACAACAGGGGACACATTATACAGTTATTATTTATTCCATAAAACATGGACATTCTACATATCCCC